GCGGAGGAGCAGAACAGGGGCTTCCAGGGAGGAGGTGTGTTACTTCAGCGGCTCAAACTCGCATGGGAAGAGGGAAGAAAGCCAGGCAGCGTTATTGGCAAGGTTTAGGAGACTACCCCCCCCCCCACGCACACGCACACGCACACGCACGCACTGCGTATGCCCAGGAAGGAGCTAAATCAAGGGGTGTGTAGAGACTGAAGATAAACTTGTTAGTGATTTGTGGTGTCTGAAAATAGCAGCCTTGTAACTCTTGAAGAACCAATAACCTGGGAAACCAGCAGTTTTCCAGCGCCGGGGGGACTGAGTAGCATTTAGGTGGGGTGTTGGTGGGTGGCAAAGGAAGCATGAGTGATGACTGGGGGGGTGCACGTGTGTGTGAGTGTGATGGGAGCAAGCTCCACGGTCACCAGTCACGCTGGTCTCGCCCCCTCCTTCCACCCTAGCAATGCACCAAACAGTCAGAAACAAACCAGGGCGAGCAAAGCCGTCACCCAACCACCCAGCAGTCACTCCCTCCGCTTCCCTCGGACTCTCCCTCAAATTACAGTTCTTATTTCCACCAGTAAATGTTGTTTAGAAACATCAGTTCTCTATGCCTCCCTCCCTAGTGTGTCTTTTGCCAGTAATTAAGACATAGATCAGAGCATTTAGTATAATTTTTTAATCCAATTAGATGAGCTGTAGTCAGTGCTGGTACAATGCAATGTATTAATCCTAGTTAAATAGACCTAGAAATTCAGGACAAAGGGGGGCGGGGAGGATTTTCAAGGGTAGAGGGTAGAGTTTAGTAGTTCCATGAGCTGAACAGCTGCAGAGAGGACAGTTTAGGTGTCCCAAAGCAGCAAGGTCTGTGTTTTCCCAGGTCCCTGGTTTACACACGCCTATCAAATCATCAGGGATGTTTAGGCAGCCTATCCTTGCACAGTTAAAAGCTCAGAAAAATGTCCCTTTTCTTCAGTTTAGGGCAGATATCATTCTGTTTATTTCAGTGGAGTTATTTCAACCGTGTCAGAAGTTCTGGCAGTTTGTTTTCACCTCCTGTCAGGTATATTTCTCAGCTGCTGGAATCAAGAGGTTGCGTGAGAACCTCATTTAAAAAGAACAAGTATACTCTAGGACTCATGTTTGCAAAAAAAGTTTGAAAATCTAAAATAAGCAGAACACGCTCTGAAGCTCAGAGCCAGGAGGCAAATTGAAAGAAGCAGAGTTACTGTTATTTTTAAATCTTGTGATTTTTCAGCTGATCACATGATTTCTGTGACATATGGGCAGGGGGAGAACTGACTTTTGAATGGTTGGACAGCTGCAGACTGCATTAGTATAAATGTAGTATAACTTAGGGCAGAATTAAGAGATACCAAGAGCTGCAACATGCAAGGTCCAGATACCAGTGATAAATAATATGGCTCTTTCAAATGCATTTTCTGTATCTGTTTTGCTAGTCTCTCTTTTCTTGTGGCATAAGCAAAGCACATGCAGTGCAAGTAAGTGCCTAGAGCTGTTAGCTTTTCCAGTTTCAAGCCCTGAACAGAGGAATACATACTGCGATGTGATTTATTTTGGTTTTGTAAATGGATGCAAATTACATTAGAAGCAGACAGATGTGCAGCTACCAAGAGAACTCGCCTGGTAGGTGGCTAGTATAGTGCCTCACTGCTAGGCATGGGGGTGGGTGGGGGGTGAATCAGGTGCCTGCTTGAGCAAAATTGCTATCACACAAGGTATGTAGACAGTATAAACTAGTATGACTTACACTGGTAGAGTTTTATCCTTGATTCTTTGGGGGTGATTCTCTACCAGATTGGGTGAAATTACCCTGGTTTCAAGGTATTTACCTGATGAAGTGAATCTGAGTTCACCAAAACTTGTGCTCTCTATATGTATCTTATTTAGTTAGTCTGTCAAGGTGCATATCTACCCTCACTTCTTAGAGGTTTGTGTCATCTGTCTGCTACGTCACATCTGCAATGTTGTTACCTCTCAGCTCTATGTTCTTGGGGAACCCTGGCACAGTACGCAGCCTGTCTGACTCACAAAGGACTCACCTCCCCGCTTCCCGTCCCAACTCTGCCTGAACAAGAACTGATTAGAGGAAGGACTTACAAAAGACAATAAAGATGCAGTGGGAGACGCATCTAAAGCCCTTCAGACAAGGGTGATAGGAATGAAGCAACTCCACTGGTCTCGTTGACATGGGACAGGAAAGCACCTTCATTTATATTCAGGATGGAAAACAGAGATTCCAAGGCACTTAATTCTGGGACCAGAGAAGCAGGGGAGCACTGCATGATGGGGGATCCCTGCTCCAAATGCTTATCAACCCACTTCTGCACCCACCTAGCTCAGCCTTTATCAGACCAATTCTAGTAATGACTCCTTTACTGGTACCCAAAACACTGAATCTGCCTGTCTGTGTTGTGAGCTCCCTCAGAGTAATGCCACCCATAGCCAGGAGTGCTCAGTTCCTATTATCCAACATATGAGCCATTGTTTAGCCATAAACAAACCTAGTGTTCTCCCTTGAGCCATTGTTAGTTCTCTACAAAAACCCCTACCCAAGCTCAAGTTTCTGTCCTGGTGCTTGGATCCAAAAGGTGCACCAGTTCCACTCCTTTTCTGCCTGGAATCCCTGCATTGATCGTGCTGAGGGCTCCACCTGTCTGCAAGCTTCAACAAATACCTGGGAACCTCGACTTCAAGCTTCGCTGAGTGGTGAGACCCTAACTCTTTCTCCCTCTCTCTCTCTTACTCCAGGCATAGCTTTTTAAATTGGACTTTTGCTGATCAAACTTGAGCTAGACTTCCCCAAATACCTAACTGAAACTATGTAATATCATAACTGTTTTATTTGTCTCTCTCATATGGCTGTTACTATTGGTTTCATCATAAGTTCATACACCTGGCATTAAATAACTTTTATGGTCAAGCTGGTTGCTATACTCTCTCTCTGCATCTCACTTGACCTCCTCATTTGCTCTGCAGCAACGCTTTTTTTTATCTAAGCCAAAGATCCCTGTAATGCCCAAAACTATGGTGGGGTCCGCTCATCAAAGGAGTTACTACTAGGACCATTGTGACAAGAGTTTGGGATGTGCTGAGTTTTGAGGTGCATGAGGATATTAGCTGAAAGTGCTGATCAGACCCAGCCTGCTCAGACATACTCTGTTAGCATGTGTGTATGGTGTCTAACTTCATTTATTATTGTCCTGCTGAAATAAGGGATGAACTAAGTTCAAGGTACATGAGGGTGTCAGCTTGTCAATGCTAAATAACCTGGCCTGACTCCGATGTGCTCTGTTAACCCGGGTGCTTGTGTCTGAGTGCATTTTATTGTTGCCCTGATGAACTGAGTTCAAGGCATATGAGGGTGTTAGCCTGTCAATGCTAAATAACCTGGCCTGACTCCGATGTGCTCTGTTAACCCGGGTGCTTGTGTCTGAGTGCATTTTATTGTTGCCCTGATGAACTGAGTTCAAGGCATATGAGGGTGTTAGCCTGTCAATGCTAAATAACCTGGCCTGACTCCGATGTGCTCTGTTAACCCGGGTGCTTGTGTCTGAGTGCATTTTATTGTTGCCCTGATGAACTGAGTTCAAGGCATATGAGGGTGTTAGCCTGTCAATGCTAAATAACCTGGCCTGACTCCGATGTGCTCTGTTAACCCGGGTGCTTGTGTCTGAGTGCATTTTATTGTTGCCCTGATGAACTGAGTTCAAGGCATATGAGGGTGTTAGCCTGTCAATGCTAAATAACCCGGCCTGGCTCAGGCATGTCTGGTTAATTTGTGTGTGTATGTGCGTATATGTGTTTGACTGATTTGGTGGTTAGAGGAACTCAGCCC